CAATGCAACAGCTCCCCTCCCACTTCCTCCCCATAGTTACCTCTTCCCAGTGTCCATCCCTCCATACTCTCCTGCCCCCTGAGCTGTCTCCCTGTTATGCTCCATTTTTAACCTGCTTAAACATACAATCACATTTTTCAGAGTGGTAAGGCACGATCATGTTAGGGGAAATAAAAAAAACAAAACTTTTTTTTCAGAAAAGTAAATACAACATGTATAAGCATACGATCATTATACACTATTTTCATTTGTGTGTATTCCTTTCTAGCTTTCTCCCCACAGCACACACTTCGTACCAACTCTAAGTGGTACGTACATGCAATTTTGTTTTCTCCTTTTCCTCCTGATCACAATTTTCCCAATGTTTCTATATTACTTTTCTAATTATTTTTTCCTGAAAACTACTGGTACTTCTTTCTTCAAGTTCAAATAAGAAACTTTTTGCTACCATTCTCTTCATGTTGGTAATTATTTCCCCAATTTTAGAACCCTGCATATAATATTACTGGAGTCCTAGTGGCACAGTTGTTAAAGCACTCAGCAGCTAACCAAAAGGTCTGTGATTCAAACTCACCAGGTGCTCCATGGAAGAAAGATGTGTAAAGATTTACAGCTTTGGAAACCCTGAGGGGTGGTTCAAATCTGTCCTGTAAGGGTCACTATGTGTCAGAATAGATGTGATGGCAGCGGGTGGGTGTATGTTGCAGGGAGCATATTAACACACATTGCTTTCTTCTTCTGATGGTATTTACAGAAGTAGATTGCTGGGTGAGTCCAAAAGTATGACACATGATCTAAGCACTGTCATTTAAAAATTGTCCTTGGAAGGGCAATATACCAAATGTGAGTGATCATCATGGTGGCACTGAGGAAGAGGAAGACATAGAGAAATGCATGGGGGATACAGACAACAAAGATGAGCCCTTTTGCACACGTAGTACTGCGTTGTCAGTGAAGGCAAACTCCGATCTATGGGTGGATAGATGGGTGGACAGGCTGAACAATCAGGTACGTCTATGCAGGGGGAATGTGCCCATGACCATGTACAGGGTTGGCACACAGTGTTTCTACAAGTGTATCTGTATGTTCTATAAGAATTTCCAGGTATATAGTAGAGCTAACAAGGGACAAGGTTGTAGTCATTTCTTGGCCACAGCCAGCTACCCAGAGGGAGCAAGTAGTTGGGACCTGATGGGCTTGGGACCATGGTTGCAGGGGACATCAAGCTCAATTGGCATAACATACTACACAAAATCACTGTTCCACATCCTACTTTGGTGAGTAGTAACTGGGATCTTAAAAGCTTGCAAGCACCCATCTAGATGCAATGATGGGGATGGGTCTTTCCTCGTTGAGAGCAAAGAAGAATGAAGAAAACCAATGACGCATGGAAACAATTAGTCCAAGTGACTGGAACACCATGCGATCCGCAGACTATATAACTATAAGACCAGAAGAACTAGATGGTGCCTGGCTACCACTGTCAACCACTCAGAGGGGGGATCCTGGCTAGAGTGGGAGAACAATGTGGAACAAACTCAAAATCATTTAAAAAAAAAAAAAAAAAAAGGGACCAGGTTTGCTGGTCTGATAGAGCCTGGTGGAACCTCTGAGACTATGGCCCTTAGCTGCCCTTCAGGTCTGGAATTGAACCCATTCCTGTGGCTTCCAGCCAAACAAAAGATAGGCATATGAGCTAAACATTTACACTAGGTTGATACACTTCTTGGAGAAAACAATCACGGGAGAATAGAAGGGCTGTGCATGCACAGGGAGACAGCTGGGGGGCAGGAGTGTATGGGAGGGAAGGACACAGGGAAGAGGTAACTATGGGGAGAAGGTGGGAGGGGAGCTGTTGCATTGTGGGAGATTGCAGTCAATGTCATAAGACAAAGTGTATGTGAACTGCTGTATGGAAGATGAATTTGTTCTGTAAACTTTAACCCAAATCACATTGAAAAATAAAAAAGAGCTTCCTTACCTCTTCCAAAGCTTGGATTAGTTGCACAGTTTTTCTGCCTGCAGCAGTAGAATCATCGTAGTTTAAAGACAATATTTGTTTGGAGATCTCTCGGAACCAAGCTTGAAGATTTTCTATTAATACAGAAACAAGGAAAGATACTGAGATTCTGGAATTCCTGCCACCGTGAGTTAACTGAACAATCATTTACAAATCACGTTCTTATTCATGGAGCTTTTACTGAGTGCCTAACTCTGCTGCTCCCAGGAACTTGCCAAACAATAGCAGCAGCAGCAGAAAGACCAGGAGCACGTGACCTAGGAGAAGAAACCGTACTTTCTATAGAAACACCTTAGTCTACAGTATCTGGCAGAAATGATGAGAGGCTCAAGTACGTGTTATAAACGGAATGTGCCAAGTGGCAGTGGTGAGTGGTGGTTGTGGGGAAGTCAGGAAGGACTGAACGACATGGAGAGTTCTGAGGAGAAGGGAGGCAGGGCGAAGGCTGGAGGAGCAGAGATGGAGAAAGGTCTTTTCTCTAAATGAAAGGACAGGCTCAGCAGAGGCTTCAGGGCACAGATGACAGTGGTGTGTCTGGAGGGGCAGAGGGGAGCGGGAAGCAGGCGCAGTGAGTTGTGGGAGGGGCCTGGAACGCTCAGCTGGTGCCACCTGCTCACAAACCAGCCGGCACTGCACCGGGCAAAGAAAGGGACATCGGCGCACTCCAGAGTACCCACAGGGCGACAGGTGACGTTCCAGCCGGGCCTCAGTCTTCACAGTCTGCGGAGCTACGGTCACCCTGCACAGGTGAAGGAGCCCGTGTGCAGAGGTATGAAGAATCCCATCCTGGGATTTTCACAATTCTCTGTCAGAAGGCAAAGTCTGTCCTCTTTTCACCTCACCAAGTGGAGTCCTTAAAGCTGTGAAGCTTTTTTATTCGTTTATTTTACCAATGGGATGTTATCACTTTATTAAAAAAGTATAAGTTATTTCAAGACTGGCACGAGCAGTGTCAGATTACCCAATCAGCAAGGTAAGCACAGGTTTACCTGTGTTTACTTACTAAGCTACAGAGAACAATTTGATATTTTTTCTCCACATCAAAGGTTCTGCTTGTAGGTATGGCTGGCATCTGTCTCTCTCCCAACCCCAAAGCACCCTCCTACAGAATTGAAGTCTCTTTTCAAATTTATAATCCTTGACAGGGACAGAGTGCCCAGTGAGCAAGGTAGGCATGAGCTTACTTATGCTTACTCAGCAATCTGTAGTCAAACAGTTTCATGTATTTTCACTACATCAAAGATGGCCCATTCAGCCACTCAGCCTACGACCTCTGGTTGACCAGAAGCAAGCAATCAGCATCTGATTAAAGATGCGGTAAAAGCCAGGTGAGATCATTCACCACAGATCAGTATGTAAGCAGGAGTAAGCCTGTGCTGACCTTGCTTACTGGGTAATCCACCCCTCAGCTTAAGGGACACTAGTTGTAAACGGAAAGATTTCTTTATTTTTCTAGGATTGAGGGGAAGCTATGGGGTGGTACGAACAGCACAAGAGTTGGAGTGTGAGGGGCTGAGTTAGAACCTGGACTCTGGACCTGCTATCCTCAATGAAGTGACTATCTTTTCAATCTCTGGTTCCTTATGTAGAAAGTAAGGATAAAGAGGCTTATCTGACAGGGCTGTGAGGATCAGATGAGAAATATCCATGAAAGTACAACCAAAGTTGAAAAATGCCATACACCCAGAAAAGGTGTAAGCTGGTAGTCTCCGACTGACCCCTGACACAAAGCTGGTATTTATAAGACCTCACAGAGTACAGTGCTGTCTGACACAGGGTTGCCATGAGTCAGCACTGACTAGATGGGAAGGGGTTTAGAGACAGAAAGATTAATGAGCTGATTCCAAACGACTAATCTGGTCAGATTGTAAATAAGTCTTTTTTTTTTTGTCATATAAAAAGCTATCCTAAGCAATTCCACTGTATAATTAACCTTATTGGAAATGAATTGATAGTTAAAATAAATATTAAGCATGTTTTAAAAAGTTTGTCAGCTTCACATTCACAGTTGTCTTCCAGAGGCAATCTAAAAGGTTCACAGCTATATAAAATCTGAAGTGATAGCACAATTACACCAGAGAGAAAACTTCCAAAAGAAGCAGGATCAAAATCATTTCAGTAAAGTGAGCCATGTGTGGAGCTGAAGTCCTGATCCGCACTATGACATGGGTAAACTTGAAAACATGATGCTGAGTAAACCAATCAGACACAAAAGGACAAAGATTCTATGTCCCAGTTGCATGGAATGTGCAGAACAGGCAACTGCATAGGGATGGAGGTTTGTCAGCAGTCATGAGAGGTGGGTGGGAGAGAGGCGGAGCTAGGAAGGTGTCACTACATTTCTGTGAAGGGTGATGAAAAATCTGAAACAGAGTGGTGATGACGTGCAACACAGGGCACATAATTAACGCTGTTGAAATGTACACATAAAAATGGTTGGGATGCAAAATGTTTTGATACACAGGCAGACCCTGGAGATACTGCAGGCTGGGTTCCAGACCACCCCAATAGAGTGAATATTGCAATAATGTGAGTCACATGAATTTTTTGGTTTCCAAGTGCATGTAGAAGTTGTGTTTACTCTATACTGTAGGCTGTTAAGTGTGCAATAGCATTAGAAAGTTTGAAATATCGTGAGAATCACCAAAATGTGACAGAGAGACATGAAGTAAGCACATGCTATTGGAAAAATGGCGCTGATAGTTTCTTGATGCAGGGCTGACAAACCTTCAATTCATAAACAATGCAGTATCTGTGAAACACAGTAAGGTGAAGCGCAATAAAACAAGGTAGGCCTGTATAGCATTTCACCCCAGTTAAAAAAAAAACCCACAACAGTGCAGATCTCCTCCTCTGCCACTAGATGGCAAGTACACTGATGAAATGAACACACTCCAAGTACCTTTAGAAGATGAGAACCTTGGATATCATCTGTGTTCGCAGTTCTTAATATTCTTGGGTGACATCCTTCTGAGAAGATCAAGAAAGCTATGGAGCCTCTTCTCCCATCACTCGGAGGCACAGAAACTTACCCCGGAGTGTTATGCAGTACTCAGGGGAACCTATGATTCCCTGTGCTAAGTAAAGCAGAGGTCAGCGCAAAGGCAAGACCCTCAGCAAGATGAGCTGACACAGCGGCTGCGTCCGTGGGCTGAAGCATGGTGACGAGAGTGGGGACAGCACAGGATCCGGCCGTATTTCGTACTGCTGCACACGGAGTCACTACCAGTCGGAACTGACTCATGGCACCTAATAACATCTACCAACTATTACATGAAAACCTCTAACCTAGCCTAATCCCATCTTTCAAAGATAAAGAATCTGAAGTCCAGAGAAGATAACACTGTCCAAGAAGGGCACAGAGTTAGAAGCAGCAAAAATGAACCTTCAGATCAGTATTTGTTTTTGTTGTGTGGCACGCACACAACACACTTGTGATTTTCAACTTAGAGCGCCCCACAATACTAAAATAAGAGGGCAATGTTACAGCATAAAATAATGAAAACATAAGGACTTTTTACTATGCCAGATTCTAAATTTCAAATAATCTGTGTAGACATTTCAAACACACCAATATTTCTTCTTTAGCGATTACCATTTTTCTCCACTCTGGTTAGGGGCTTCACTCCGGAGAAGACATCCGCCAGCTCGGTCATGCGCTCTGAGCCCTCCTTCTTATAAAGCTCCCATTTGGCTTGCTTTTCTGAAAGCATTTGCTTAAACATCTGTTGAAGAGACAGGAAAGATTTGTTAACTTAGGAGAAAATCCAGATCAGGCAGTTTACTGAGAAAGCCTGAAGGAACCCCAATTTATTACCATAATGTAATTAATTATTATAATTTAATATATAAAAATATAATCCAATCCATTATTTTATATATATATGTATATCTATCTATACATATATATATATATAAGCAGACTACCTCATCTTTCTTCCATGGAGCAACTGGTGGGTTTCAACCACCAACCTTTTGGTTAGCAGTCAAATGCCTTAAGCACTACCCCACCAGAGCTCCATACATATATGTGTATATATATATGCGCACACGCACACACACACACATACTTATATATGTTGTTGTTGTTGTTGTTATGTGCTGTCGAGTCGGACCCGACTCACAGCGACCCCTCCTTGGGTTTCCAAGGCAGTATCACTACAGAAGTAGATTGCCTCATCTTCCTTCCAAGGAGTGGCTGGTGGGTATAACACACACATATGTCTAAAGGAGCCCTGATAGATCACTAGTTAAGCAGTCAACTGCTAATTGAAAGGTTGACGGTTTGAATCCACCAGCTGCTCCATGGGAGAATGGCGTGGCAGTCTGTTTCTGTAAAGACTACAGCCTTGGAAACCTTATGGGGCAGTTCTATTCAGTTCACAGGGTCACTATGAGTTGGAATCGACTTGACGGCAATGCGTTTAGGGGTTTGGTTTGTAAAAGTTAACATTTAACATCATGCCACCCTTTAAGCTCTACTCAGATCCCTTCAGAAGCTCTTGCTTCTCTTTTCAGGATAGTGTCTTAGGCTGGGACAGGGTCCTCTGTTGTGTATGCCGGGACAACCACATACATGCCTTTAGAGGACTCAGCTCTGTCTTGTTTACAGTTCACTAGTGTGATTATTTGATTAATGTCTGTAGCCCTCGTTAGACCGGAACCTACACAATCTAGTGCATGTGTGCCCACCACTGTACCCCAGTGACAGAGGAATTCAAGGTTTGTTAAATGTTTCATCCTATCCTCTTCCTATAAGCACTACCTCAGATGGCTAGAGTCGGTAGCTTAAATCAGAGAGAGAACCACAGATAGTTGTACTCATATTACATTATAAAATTAAGTATAAAAAACTCTAAGACTTCACTACTTATTCATTCAATATTCTTACCTCTTTGAGTATGAATTCAAACTGAGCAGTATTTAGCAACAGCTGGAAGAGGACCCTGGGATTGTACCTAGAGTCGGTTAGAATCTGGTCCTTGATTTGACGAAGGCGTTTGTTGTTTGGGTCATAAGCTAGAAGTGAGAAGAGATGAGTTATCAATTAATTAAATGTGTAGAAAGTATACAATGAAATATACAATAAATTCTTAAATATTGAGTCTCATTCATTTTAAGCATGTGAAAGTCATAAGCAACATATATACCAGTAACAGAGGGTGAAAAAATGGTACTCCATCAACTTTTAAGCATGGCTATTGGATCTGACATGGAATGTCATCTCTGATAGATTACTGAGAAGAAAAGCAAGCTAAGGATCAATGTTTCCACATTTTGTAAGCATTTTTTTTGGAAATCAATCACTATATTTTATAAACATATTAAACAAAATATATGTATAAATGTGCATGTATAGTTTGGATACACATATTAAAAAGACAAGACAACACTCACCATATTTTGAATGTGGTTACCACTGGGGAATGGGTATGAGGTTTGGTAGGAGCAGAGATGAAATGAAGGTTAAGGAGGGGCTTTCACCTTTACTCTTCTATACTGTTTAAGTTTCACATGAGCACGTATTACTTTGAAAGTATAGCAATACAAATAAAATCATCAACACAGATGGCACCCTAAAATGTCCCAGAGGCTTAAAGGCATGGTAAGTGCTCAGAGCTTTTTGGTGTATCCATTACCCAGGCATGAAGAGCCAAGGCTTCTGGGCCAAGGTCACAGAGTCAGCCCATGAACAAGGATAAAACACTAGCTGTCTTGATTCCCAAGCTAGCCTATCAGCTGCCAAGCTAACTTATTCCCAAGAAAATAAACTTCAAAGAGATGTATGTAATAAAAAATACTGACATTTCTTGGGATTAGTTTATTGGGCCAATTATTTATTTAAAAAAGAATAAGGAAGACAGATAAAGGAAGGATACTTACAAGCAAAAGCTACCTAAACTGTAAGTAAGACCAAAATAGAACATTTAGCAAAGAAGTTGTCATTAATTAGCTATAAAGTTCACAGCTAAATAATGTACGAGGTCTTTGTGGCTGCACCGGCACTGCATGGGTGAATTCCACCATTTTCCCATCATGTATCGCAGGATGGTTGGCGAGGTTGACAAGAAACTCTGATAGTTGCACTCATATTACACGCATATACACCCACTATCCTAATCCCTTTCTTCCTCCTTGTCCTCGATTTAGGTCACAGGATGGTGGCTGTGTGTAGAATGACTCTGGTCTAGGAGCATATTTTATAGGGTATTTTATTTACCAGTTATGGTGAAGCCTGGGGGAGGATACTATAAATACTGATTTCTAAGTTATTCCATTGGGAAGGGACCGATGACAACCTGGAGAAGGGCTCAGTTTTCATAGAGAACTGCACAGTTCTGATTTATCATGCGTTCTTCAGAACTATCTGGAAAGAAATATACTGGAACTGGTGACTTTGATTATCCAGAGAGGAAAACTTCTTCAGTTCACATTTGTCTAACTAAAAACCAAAACAGAACTCATAAGCAGTCCCACCTATCTATATTAATTCAATAAGAAACCTTCTGATTTTAACTTGCCTTCATTGTTGGATGGGGGCAGAAGAACCTAGTTACAGAAAAACGTTCTGTATCCCTCAAGAGGCCTGAATGATTACCCAATAGCACCTTGGTAGAAACTAGGTTTTGTTCCAGTGTTTCTAGGGCCTGGTCATCTAAGATGGAACCACCAACAGTCAGGGCCAGAGAACTGGGAGAACAGATCCTACAACCACAGTGACCTTGGGGTCAGACTTCAGCAGCCACCATGGCCTCAGTGCTTCTTTGCAGAGCACTGCAGAGTATGTGAAGTCCAGACACAATGACTCCAGTGGGTTAACAGTATCTGACACACCTTTCCTCCTGCACACCCAGGATAAAACAACAGAAAGGCTAAATAAGCAGTTGCTTTTTTACCTATGATTCATAACCAGACAGGCAAATCATTTGTTTCTGGTAAATTATGACCTTGTGCGATCAGGTCAGACAACTGTCAGGCCCAAAAATGAGAAACAGATGTGGCTGACGATACAATCACAGGCCTCCGGTAAGGGAGGCTGTCCCTAGCACAGGAGCAGATTTGGGAACCTACTGGCTCCTAGGACCCAGGCTTGGCTGTCAGGCACCCTCAGATGAAGAGGAGGCTGAGTCACTGGAAAACCACAGTCAGTTTTACGATCGGATAAAGTGAGTTCCTGGATTGTTTATATGCTGGTGGATTTAAGACCTTTGGTAAAGAAGATTGTAAGCTGAGTCAGCGTAGTAAAATCCTCCAATTAGAACCAGCATTTATGCCAAAATAAGCTCTAATTAAAAACAGACCCATGAGATGATGAAAACCAGTGACAATATCCCTGCTGTGGGGAAACTGTCGGCTGGAAAGGGGTCTAGGCCAATCAGCCAAATGATGAACAAAACTGGAAAGTAGAACCTGTGAGAAAATGCTTAAGAAGCTGGAGGTTTCTAGTCTGAGGAGGAAAGGCAGAGGAGAAATTCCATACATTTCCAAAGATATGAAGGATGAAGACGTCTGACTGCTGTTTTCACTTCTGACCACTCACAGGAAGTCAGAACAGATGGTTGCTAGAGGGATGGTGTGGTGATGTGTGGAAGAACATGTTGACTGAAGGGTTGTGAGACAAGGGGCCTCAGTGTGATCGAGGGAAGCAGCAGAAAAATCCGTCACGGGCAGAATTTCTTTTGAGAGACTCAGCTTTACCTGAAAGAGCAAGAAGTGTCAAAAGCAGTGCCTACCTTAGGGTAGGTCCTCAAGAAAAGTTTCTTGAAAGAAAAACAAAACAGGGTTTTCCAGGGCTGCATAAGTATACCACTCTGAGGAGGAGGGATGTGCAGTTCTGGAGGAGCGACACAATGTTACGGGAGGCTCACTCTCAGGAGCTTAGAATTCTGTTGTTATGGTTGGTTAGTTTGGCCACTCGCCGGGCTCAAAAGGAGGCCTCCTAGAGGCAGAACTCTCTCTGACTGCTGGTTGAGGAAGACGTGCTACTGAAAGAGACACACACGTTCTCCTGAGACACGCGTTGCTGGGAAAGAGACGCAAGAGACACGCATTGCTGAGTGAGACACCGAGGGACATGCACTGCTGGGAGAGAGACTGTGAGAGACTATTGGCTGAGGGATGGTGGGCTGGGAGAGAGACTGAGCATTTTTTCCTGAACTTGAATTGTAGCCTGTGGTGCTTCCCTAATAAACCCCATAATCTGTGAGCTCTGTGTGGCCACTGCAGTGAATTATCGAACCCAGGAGAGAGGTGGTGGGTGCTTTGGGAGGAACGGTTGGAGAAAGGGCTGGAGGGAGGCAGCATGTTTGGACTGGCAGGAATAGGCCTTGGGCTATTGATGGTGATTCTGTCTTCCTCTTGTGGGATTAGAGGAGGTCAGAACATGTGGCCTCCTTGTCCTTTTTGCATTAATGTTGATCAAATATTTACTAAGGAAAAGGGATTGTGCCAGTCTGAACAAGCTCACAAGTGTGACTTAGCCCATCCCACTTACTTTCCTACCATGACATCAGGGGCTTTGGCATCACAGTCCCCTGAGCATGGAGGCTACATTTCCCCAGATTCCCCAGGAACTCAGAGGACCTGACTAAGAACAGCGGGTCAGGTCTGTCACTGACTTGTCCAAATGGACTGAAAAAGCAACTTGATTCTCACCCAAGGGCTCTCTACTTGGTAACCACAATGTATCATGGAGTAGATATTAATTCTGAAAGCCTTTCTGTGGGCAGGATAAATGGCCATGGTTCGTGCCTTACCTGAGTCTGCTGTATGGAGCATTAGCCATCGGATGGCAACATTGCAGTCTCTCAGGCAATTCAGAAGCCTTGGGATGTTGTCCAGAACCATCTCCTCCCTTAAGTAGCCTTCTTTCAGAAACTGCTGCACTTGAGCGTGTACTCTTTCACCGACAGTAGCATATCTGCTTGCCTTTGGGGGGAAGAATTCAATTAGGTTCAAAGAAAGAATTACTTATCTTGAAAATGAATCCCATTCAGATGAATGCCTTGACAAACACTAACATCTCCACGTGAGGTGAATCACATCTGGACTGTGGTTAATAAGGCTCAAAGGCAACTGGTTGACTACCCAGCAGTTTAGGTTCCGTTCAACGATTTCTACCCAAGTTGTTCAGTGACACTGGTTCTGTTCTTCACACCGTGGGACATCCCCATCGTTTCCATGTCAATGTCCCATCTCTGTTCATCTGGTTGACCTGCTCCTTGCATTCGCATCGTATTTTAAAGTAATTATGATTGGTCTCATAGAGGTGAGTTTTTAAAGGAGTACAATACTTATGGGTGATACTATGTTTTGAGCCAATTTATTATTTAGCCACAAGGTGACCCCAAGGTTAGTTTCAGTTCAAGGTCTGAAGAAGATCTTGGGGGATGCGGTCCACCAGTCTTAAGCATCCCAGTAGGCCTGGATTTTGTTCCAGGATTTTGAAGTTCCGTCTTACATTTTTCTCCCCTCTATCCGGGTCCACCTATTGTGGCCTTGATTAGAACGGTCAGGAGTGGGAGCTGGGCACCGACTACCTCTGGTCTCAGGTAGATGAGGCCACGGTTTGTGCAGAATGCTCGTCCCGTAGCCTAGTTTCCTCTTTGACTCTTTGGTTTCCTTCTTTCTCTTTTGCTCTGGATGAGTACAGACCAATAGTTGTATCTTAAATTGGATTTTTTTTTTAACAGAGCACTGGACTTAGAATTAAGAGACTAAATCCTAGTTCCAGCTGTAATTAAATGTTGGTATGACACAGAGCTTAACCTCTGCATAGTGTTTTTTTTAAATGTCAAATGGAGTACTGGCTCAGGTGACCCCATAGATTCCTTCTATTCTTAACTTGGATAAAAAAGAAACAAAGAGAAAAGCTAAATTTCCTGTCCTTCCTATTATTATTGAGCAAAGGAGGCAGAGCAGAGCAGGAATCAAAAGACAAGGCTTCTATAGGTATACAGAAAGTTTAACTAAAAAAATCCCCCTCAGTAGTTCAAAGTGGAATTTTCAAAGCAGCCTTTTCAATCTATTAATTCTGCTTTACTAAAGCAAGAGTTAATATTAACTTTAAACATTATTAACCTAGCCGAGTTAGTCTAAAATAATCACAAGGTATTTCATCAGGAGTCTGAAGAAACTTCTTAAATGTCATAAATGAGAAAAGACAGATGTGGAAAGGCATTTGTGGTGAAAAATTAATGCCCTGATGCCGGTAAGTAGAGAAGTTCTACCACTTGCTCTAATATATTTCTCAGACAAATGCCAAAAGTGAAATTATTTTGTGCATTATTTATGGAATTCAATTTATTTGAATAATACATGCTGAAGTGTTTGCAGACAACACTGTTCTATCCACACTGGAAACTCAAAACTCAGCCAGCCAGGCTGGGGACCATTGGTTTAGAAATACCAATCATGTTTCCCAATAAAGATGTGCTGTTTCTTCCTCCATTACATAGGCACTTCCTTCTGCTTTGTGTTTCTGTCAAGGAGACAGGATACAGCTACGTAAATTGTGAGGACACAAATGACTTGATTCTTGCTGCTTAGTTAGCGCATCAGAGATGATGGATTTAAATTATAGTGACAGGATGTATCATGTACATCCAGTTACCACCTTTAATATTCATCTTCTTGATAAAAACATTAACTTCAGACACTTGTGAAATCAGCTCTGCCCATAAGGACATGGTCTGTAAGCAGAGTAAACTGAGTCAAGTGGGGCCCTAGGTTGCAATGGTTCATTTTAGGATATGAATTTTCTTAGGACCCAGTCTCCCATTTATACACACCACATAATTTAAAAATCTAGAGTAACCTAGCAAAATTCACCTTTCATTAATCACTCCACTAAAATGTCTACGTGGACATCTTCATGAAGCCTACTTTGCTGGTTTCCTACCTCATATATGAGATCTGTGGTTATTAGCAAATTCTTTCTGGTTAACCAGAACCTACCTGTTCTCGGACGTTGGAAAGGTCCAGGGTATTGTTTAAAGCTGTCTTTGCAGCTTTGTAGGGTTCCCAAGCATCTGCCAGATTTACTGTGATTCCCATGTAAATACTGATTACCTGAAAGAGGAGATAATCGTTCAGTGTATTAAACACCTGCCCGCTTGAAGGTAAGCATCTGGGAGAACACAGCATTACAAAAGACTGCCCATTCCTTCAAGGTAAACGTCACATTTACTCCATTGCAAAGAAAATGCAAGATTTCCCAAATACCTAGGTGAGTACTCTTCCTTATCAGCACTTTGGAACAAAAAGGTGACACTGTTGCTATTCGTGGAAAATGTTGCTATTCATGGAAATAAAACCCAAACAAAGTTTTCCTTTCTCTTCAGTCTGCCAGGAAGTTTTTATGGGTGCATATCATACAAACTGGACTGTGACCTTTCATAATGCTACAAAAGTTTCTAATTATAGTATTATGGTCAAAACTTCTTAAATTTAGGCACATAAAGCCAGATTCTTCAAGGCTTCCTCTGAATGGTTCAAGTTCAAGCCGAAAAGTCCGACTTGTTTCCAGACAGGAACCATCATCTCCTAATCAAAGGCTGTTCTTCTCCTATTGCCAGTAATGACTCCCGTTCAGGACCCTCATCACAGTTAATGTGACTCACAGCTGGTAAGAAGCGGAACAAAATCTGCTGAGAACATGCCTGCCCTTCAAACGCTGCTGTTTGCAACTCGCTGCACTTTGTTGAACCCTCCATGTGCAAAGAAAACAGCTCATATATGTTAACTATGTTATGTCATTTTTATTCCTTCAAGAATTTAACTGAAACAAAAAACATTAACAAAATTATAAGCTTAATCCTACAAGCATGTGTAACCTTAATAGCTCCGTTACTGCTAATCCAAACCAAACTTTGTTGTTGAGTCAATTCTGACTCATAATGACCCTACAGGACAGGGCAGAACTGCCTCATTGGGTTTACAAGGCTGTAATCTTTATGGAAGCAGATTGCCTCATCTTTCTCCCATGGAGCAGCTGGTGGATTTGAACTGCCAACTTGTGGTTAACAGCTGAGTATTTAACCACTGCACCACCATCACTGCCAACACATAGATAAATGTTATCATGAAAGTGAAATCCCCTTTCACACAATGAAAAACTAGAAGAATTTTCTAGCTTAAACGGATAAACAGAGAAGAATAAAAAGAATCATTACGTAATTTGCAATCTCAGTCGCTAAAACAAGATATGTTTTAATATGTGGTTTTACCTTGAGTATATCCATTTAGGAAAAAGACTAATGGGTTCTTCAGGAAATCTTACTGATTGATTTATTCCTTCATGTTATGCTGTATAATATTCTCAACACACCCACAGGAATTTTACCATGGTGATTTTAGGTTCCATTATTCCTAACATCATGACCTCTGAGTAAAAGGCCAACAGAATGGAAATCAGTATTCTAACAAACACATGAGAGCGAACACAGACTATAGTAATACTTGCCCAATTGTCTGGAAAGTATTTATCCACTATTTCCCTCATCTTTGCTTGGTGGGTGTGCAGGATGGAAGGGTCAAAGTAGAGAATCACGCATAGCATGGCAGCTTGATTGGCCAGGGCAGTGCTGCGGTGCTCGGGCAGTGGGTATGCTGAGACCTGCAATGCAGAACCCACGCCCCAAAGAGTTAGTTGCTGGTCACACCTGAACGTATATAGGCTCCTAGTAAGGTATCCAGCTCTACGGTTTGTTAGCCTTTCACCATCTCCTGTGAGGATCCTGGACCCTGGAATGAATATGGCATCGCTAAAGTATGGCCTTCCTTCTTACCCCTAACCAGGATGTTATCTTCCTTCCAGCCTAAGAGTGGTTCCATTTCTGTTTCTTTCCCTTCCCAGGCAGTGGGGTCAAATTGTAATTTTCTTTGGTCTCTTTGAAATGAATGGTACCCATACTGGAGAAGAAAGTCAGGCAGCTTGCAAATGCCGCCCAGCTTCACAGCCCTGCTCATGCCGCCTCCTTTGTGGCACTGCCCTCAGGGCCCACTTGGTCACCTGCTGCAATCCTGCTACCTTATATACTCCAAGGTGACCTGTGCTTCCCTACCATGATGTTCACCTTGCTTTACTCTGATTCTTAGCTGTCTGCTTTCCTAAGCAGCAACCTCATTATGGGGAGGGACCATGGCCTGCCTTCTTCAATGATGGAGCCCCAGCATCCAGCACATGGACTAGTACATAACACACACTCAGCAAGCATTTCTGGAATAAAAAATTAAAGGGGTGCATCTTCTTGCCAAATGCCAACTCCTCCCTAAAATCTCTAGTTCTGTCAAAATTCACATCCCACTTTCCTTTCCCCTCCCATAACATAGCTTAAGAGCCTTGACATGGTTTCTAGCAGTTCTTCCTCTCTGAGGAAGAAGGAGGGAAAGAAGTAATTGAGAAGAAAAATGAAATCAATCTCTTAAACTGTTAAGATTGTTACAGATTTATTCCTCACCTGATTGTAAATATCATCAGATCTGAGCCGACCAATAACCATACTGATGAACGCGTCATTGATAGGCACTCTCTGGAAATAGCTCTCGGGATAGTTGGGTGGTCTTTTGGCTCCTGGTTGGCTGGAATAACCTGTACTTCGAAGCAGCTTACAAATATCATCCATATTTGAATCAGCAGAAGATCGGGCAGCGCTGAGCCATGTTCACAAAAGGAAATAAAAGACAAACACACTGTGCACATCAGACACTTAAAATACAACAAAGCACAAGAATTCCATTACAACTTGCCTTCATAGTTTTAAGGAGCTCTGATGGCGTAGTGCCTATGCATCTGACTGCTAACCAGAAGGCTGGTGGTTCAAACCCACCAGCCACTCCTCAGAAGGAAGGTTGGGCAATGAACTTCTACAGTGATACCATGTTGGAAACCCAAGGAGGGGTCTCTATGAGTTGGATCCAACTTGACGGCAGTGCCTTGCATTGCATTGTTTACAGTTTTAGATATGAATTTGGCTCGATCTATATCATTAAGATACACAATTATACTTTGAAGCCTATTCTAATATAGCAAACTTATGAGTATTAAATTTATTATTAATTAATTATTCTACATAAAAATCCATAATCCCTTTACCAAAATGCTTGGCTTCAATTTGTTTCCGAACACAGCGTTTTTCAAACATGAGGAAGTAAAGTGGTGCTGGAGCATACACCCTACGCAGCAGGGTCTGAGGTGGCATCCCCTGACCAACACGTTAGTATCTGTACAGTAAAATGTGTGAATAGCCACACAAGTGAGAGAAATAAAAGGTATACATAGATTCACCTCTGTTCTAGTTAGGTGTGGCCTCCAAATGACTTGTGCTTAGATCAGGTTTTGCTGCAAAAGGAGTCACTCTGTGTCTGTGTGTAGAGTGTGTGAGTAAGCATGTGTGTGAGAGCGTGACTGCATGTGTGTGTGTGTGAGTGTGTGTGTGTGAAAGAGGGAGAGTGTGACTCTGTGAGTGTTTCAAAGCTCTTTGGATTTCAGAATTGGAGATGAAGAATGGGAACTTGTGCCAACATTTTACAATATAAAAATTCTATCATTTTACAGTGGATATATACTAATTGGTTTCAACTGGCAAGGGGCTGCTTCTGCAGAGTCTAATACAAACATCCACACTTTTTAGGTGGTTTTATAGCAATCCCTGAAAGCAGTGACCGAGCTTCAAAGAGCTGTCACCTTGGCGAGGGTCTCCTACTTGATACGAGGCCTCCCTTTCCGTCAGACTGCTGTGCCGTTGTTCAGATGTTCCCCCTCCAATGAATTAGCTGTGTCCCCAAAAGGACAAAACTGAATTTTCAAAGCTGGGCTTCATGAAAAAATTTTTTAGCTTCTTCTTTACATTTACTGTTTCCATCTTTCAAGGTACTTTTAGGCTCTGTAAACGTCCTTCCTGAAAACATGGTAGCTAAAACAGCTGGTGGTCACAACGATGTGAATGCATTCCGCATGCTGGTGGGCACTCCCCTCACACACTGAGAAACCCAGCTGGCGCGAGGCATCACCTGGCATGGACTCACTGCAGCGGAGGCAGCAGGACCCACAGTGGCAAACGCATCATGTCTCTAAACAGTCCCCTCTCTGGTGAGGTTGTGCCTTTCGTCCTATTCATTTTATCCTAATCTGTAAGCTCCGGGGCTTGGGGCTGCTTTTTGATT